CGTGCTGGCTCTTCTTGGAGAGGGTCTGTGTTTGTCCAATTCCATTTATTAGAGAATTACTGATGTTTCAACTCGATGCAAACAGCACCGACAGGAAAGTTTGTGTCCTTCCCAATGCCGTTTCTTTGCTCCTCACTGCTGCAGCGTGGGGCCAGAGTAGTAAGCGCAGGAGGGAAGAGACTGAGTGAGGCAGGAGAGCAGAGAGGGGGTGAGATGCAGAGTCAGGGCTAGAGCCAGAAGTCGAGGAGATGTGAAGAAGGCAGGGGGGTGGGTTGATGAACGAGGAGGTCTCCTTGTAGCCGTACCTGGGCAGGAGGGAATGTGACAAGCAGTGGGGAGATGAGGCACCCTCAGTAACCTCCAACGTGGTTTTACATCTAATGTGACAGTTCTCCTGTGTGGTATTTATCCTGCCTTTACCATGAATGGGAAGAAGCAACGGACACATCCCTAAAGAAACGCTTCAGCCTGGGTTTTTGTGGGCTGCAGCCGAGCACGGCAAAGGGAGGTCCCCATGCATGAGAGTGGGGCCCAGTGATGTGCACCCCTGCACCCCTGCACCCCTGCACCCTGCACCCCTGCACCCTGCACCCTGCACCCCTGCACCCTGCACCCCTGCACCCTGCACCCCTGCACCCCTGCACCCCTGCACCCTGCACCCTGCACCCCTGCACCCCTGCACCCCTGCACCCCTGCACCCTGCACCCCTGCACCCTGCACCCCTGCACCCCTGCACCCCTGCACCCTGCACCCTGCACCCCTGCACCCCTGCACCCTGCACCCCTGCACCCCACACGGGCTCCTCCAGTGCCTTCCCCTTCTCCCGCAGGACCTGATGGAGAGCGGGCCGGGGCAGAAGGGGGGATATGGCACAGTGGTGCCTCTCTGTTACAGTCTGTGCTCACAGGGTTGGTGCACACTGTTCACAGATCATGCTTCACTAAGGAGGCAGTAGAAGGTGCACTGCAAAGGTAACTGCTCCTGCGTGATTAGAGATGGACATGAACAGGGGAACCCTTCTAGCCTGAGCTGCTTGTCAGTACCGCTGCTTCAGAGAACAGCCTTGCCGTGCTGGGAACTAAATTAACAATATAGTCCCCAAGGCTGTAGCCCCAAGGCTCGGGGGGCTGACAGAAGTAAAATTTTCTCTTTTTCTTTCTTTTTCTTTCTTTTTCTTTTTCTTTTTCTTTTTCTTTTTCTTTTTCTTTTTTTCTTTTTCTTTTTCTTTTTTCTTTTTCTTTTCTTTTTCTTTTTCTTTTTCTTTTTCTTTTTCTTTTTCTTTTTCTTTTTCTTTTTCTTTTTCTTTTTCTTTTTCTTTTTCTTTTTCTTTTTCTTTTTCTTTTTCTTTTTCTTTTTCTTTTTCTTTTTCTTTTTCTTTTTCTTTTTCTTTTTCTTTTTCTTTTTCTTTTTCTTTCTTCTTCTTTTCTCTTTTTCTTTTCCTTGTTCTTTTTCTTTTATTTTTCCTTTTCTTTTCTTTTTTTTCTTCTTCTTTTCTCTTTTTTATTTTCCTTGTTGTTTTCTTTTTTTCCCTTTTCTTTTTATTTTTTTCTTTTAATTTTATTTTTTTCTTTAACTTTTTGTTTTCTTTTGCTTTTTTTCCCCTTTTTTTTTCTTTTTATATTTTTCCTTTTTTGTTTTTCTCTTAACGAACCCCGTTCCCATTTCCCTATGCAAACTTGCCTAGCCTGTAAAATCAATCTCCAAGTAATCACAACCCAAGTCTCTCTCCTTCCCCTGCTGCAACTGCTCCTCTGGGTGGCAGGCCAGGGAAACCAGCCAGGACACCACAATCCCCCAGAGGAGCTGGCTCACCCGTCTGTAATCAAAAGGGCACATTAATTACAACTCTTGCCCAGAAAAAGATGCACAAGAACTGCCAGTCAGAGAACCCTGGTGCATCCAAAGCCACCAGCAGCATTTTCCTCTCTTCCAGGAAGGGACCAACCTTTAAGCACTCGCTAGAGCTTGTCATGGACCTAAATAGGACTTCAAAGGGAAGGCGAGAAGGGACAGCAGTCCCTCCTGACCCAAGGAGGAGACAGGGCAGATACATTTCCCCAGAGACGGGCAGCACACAGTCCAGGGGAGGCACAGGGGATTACTGAGACTCTCTTTCACCCTCTCTCTCCTCCCCTCCTCCTCCTCCTGTGCTGGGGGCTCCTATGGAAAACCGACTGGAAAAGGAGGTGGGAAGTAAACAACATCACCCTAAAGCTCTCCAACGTTGGAGTGAAATCACAGAGGCATGTATATATGTGGCTAAAAGCTCTTTGCTGCGTTCTTGCATCTGCAGCTATACCGAAGCAAAACACTCATTAAAAAACAAAGCGGAGACTGCGACCACAAATACTATGACCCATCCCTGTGTCCATCCTTCCCTCGACAGACCACTCTCAGCCTCCGAGTTCACTAAAATGGTATTCCTTCATGCTTTGCTAATTTTCAGTTCTTTCCAGAACAGGAAATAGATGCCTGCAGTGAGTATGCCCAGAGCTCACTTTGCAAACTCCTACAAACTGCTCTCGCCCGGCAGCAGCGGACACTCTCGCCGTGCCCGGTACTGCCAACCTCTGCGAGCAGATCCCGTCCCTCAGCCTCCTCCCCTGGACTCCGCACAAACGGGTCAGGAGCTGTGTTTGTCTGTCTGTCCCAGCCGGGCTAGTCTGTTTGTCAGGGGGGGGTAGCTAAAGAGCGCAAGCCGGTGCTAACCTCTGCCTGGAGCTCGGAAAGGGGCAGCGGGAGGATCTGCTCTTCGGACTGCAGCACCGGCGGCTCAGCCCTGCTCTTTCCATGTGTGACAAACACGTGACAGATAAGGCATATGTAACATATAGAAAGGGTTTCTTTTGCACTCCCAGATTTCCTGCAAGCATCCGTGATTAAGCAAGTAATAACCTATGATGCGAAGGAGAATAAAACAGCCTCATGAAATGGCACCGGCGTTATTTGTCCTTGCCCCATTAGGAGCTGTGGCTCCAGTCCTGCAAAGATTCACGCCCAAGCCTTAAAGGTAGGTGCTGTGAGCAGTCCTCCTGGAGTCAGAATAACACAAAGTGAGCAAAACTCCGCAAGGATTAGCCAAAATAGGGCACGTGCGCTTACAGACTGCAGTCCAGCTGGAGTAGGAGCATTTTAAAAAAGTTGTTTGCACATTTAACACCTTGAGCCGCAATCCTGACTTTGGTGTTTGGATGCTTTCAGAACAAAACGATACAAAAAAGTACCTGGAGGACAAATGTTGAAACCAGTATTCATGTATTCATTGCATAAATTCTCATGTTTGAAAACTTTCATAGTCAAAATGGATTTCAAATGCCAATTAAGTAAATGACTGGTTTGTACTTACATGAACATTTCCAAACATATTTGGGCTGTATTGCCTGGCCCTCCTCATTATGCATTGCAGAGGACAGAGGGAAAAAAAGAAAGAAAAAGAAACAATTGTAGTGAAGTACAACAAATGAAAGAGTCAGATTAATCTTTCTTCCAAAAAAACTTTAAAAACACTCTTAAAAAAACCTGCAGGCAAATGCTCACAGAATGATCCTGTTATCTCCAAGCCTCTGCAGCAATGAAGTTAAATGCCGTTTTTAGTTACTCTTCTCCTATAAAGTGCTGCTGCCTTCTTTCTTGATAGTCACCTCAGAACATTTTTGGTTTAACTGGTGGTATAAATTCTGAAGTCCTTCCTGTGCCCTTTACAGCTTGTCTGGGCTCTGGCTAACTGGAGCCTGCGGGCTAAATGCTCAGGGGTATGTCTGGCTGAAGGAATCACGGCAAGTCACCTCCTGCCATTTGTCGAGCCCTGGCCGGGGATGCTCTGCACCCATTGCTCCTTGTCAGCTTCTCACAGCATTTACTCACGCTGCTTTATCATACTCTTACTATCAGGATTCTTATGCTTTCCCAGCAACGGAGTTATTGCTGAGCTGAAACCTGGGAGAAGCGAGTTTGTGTCATAACTCCGTTTCTGACACATGGTGAACATTACGCCAGACTACGTGAGAGTGTCAGAAGGTAAAAGCTCTCGTCACAGCACAAAAGTCCATTTTCTACTGCTACTCCTAGAGTGAGAGGGGTGATGTTAGGACTCTCCTTTTACATGCATTGAACTTTGTCAAACTTTGAAGACTTTACATTTAGAAAAAAACAGAAAAAAAACCCCAAACCATGGTCGTGTTGGGATGAGAAGTTCTGACTGCAAAAAAGTCAGCTTTTAAGTATAGGGGGAAATTGCCATTTATGCACTGCTTCATTAATTATTCATCACCCTGATATAATAACATTTTAATTTATCAGTGCAAGAACAATGCTAAATGCTACAGTTCCCTCTTACATTAGCTTCATGAAGAAGAACCATCTGTTATTATGGAGCAGACCCCTTACTTTAACCCATCTTACGCATACACCACACATTAAAATGTAGCACTGCAACAATCTTGCGTTTTCTTAGCTTTTGTATTTATCACTGTATTTTTTACTCACTAAGAAAATATTTTCAACTGCTAGGATTTCTATTTATCTTTAATGCAAAGTAATAAAATAACTCACTTCATCCACATGACAGGTATTTTTCCTATTTCATCCTGAAGTTTCCAGTTTGCCTCATTTCTCTTATTTAGCTTTAATTCTTCATAAAAGCACACAGGGTGAAAGAAGGAGATACCTTTAATGCAGCTTTCCTACTGTTAAATAGATATCTTATTTTCCCTTTCAAAAAACCAAACAAACGGAAAAACTATTAAAGTGACAAAATGACAGCAACAAGTAGACAAAGAGAAATGTTAGAGGCAACTCAGACCTATCGTCCATCATGTGCCTTTCCTTCTGGTGTTCCCCTTGAAGGCTGTTGGGTTGAGGGCAAGCGGTTCCTCACGGGTTTCCTTCCTCCCCCTGATTGAAGAGGGTTTTACTTTCACCGGAAAATATTTCTTGTGAAAAACAAACCAAAACACAACACAACCAAACAACCGTTACATATCCAATGCAAATGTTGTGCCAAACTCTGAGAAGTGCCACCTTGGTTTTCGTCTTTCTGGGGTTTGAGCAGTTGTGCGTGGAACAGCTGCATCTCTGTCAGCCCAGGTCAGGTGGCCCTGGCCAGACACTTGCCACTCACAACCACAAAGCTGAAAAACCTGACCAGTTCCTTGATAGTCCAAAAGGGTTTGTGATTTCCAGTTTCTTCTCCTTTTACTTTTCTACAATGTAAAGTAAAAATCCAGTTCAAAACTGCTAAGTAGCTTTCCCATGTTTGCATTCGAGAAACAATTTTCACTGCCATAAAAAAATATTCACACCACTAAAAAAACCAACCAAACCACGATTTCCTCTGCCCCCTGTATGAAGGCCAGTGGTTTTGCATCACCATCCATGATGTCATTTGACTCTTTTAGAGTAGTCTGACTGCAGTTCTGGGTGTGGAGTCTGCTTAAATAGAAGTTCAATGTCTTTGGCTCTCCTCTTGCAATGGAAGGATTTTCCTCTCCGAAATAAGTCTAAAGTACCACCCTTGCAATGCCAGGTCCTTTTAAGTCCTGTTGTCTTTCCCCGAGCTGCAGGGCCATGGTGGGCTTGGAAAATGGCAAGAGGGGTTCTGAGAGTCTTTGGGTCAGCACCTCAGCTCAGAAGGGATCCACCACAGAAGGAGTAACGGCGAGCTGCAAACCAAGATCAGAAGCTGTTACAAACTGACCCGATTTCAGCTCTGAATGCCACCACGTCTAATAGGCAGAGATCTACAGGGGAGAGCCAGGGGAAGAAGAGTGAAGGACAGCTCTAAAACCAGTATAGATCCTTGCTTTTATCCTGAGGCTGCAAACCTGAGAACAGAGAGAAGAAAAAAAGGGAAGAAGAAAAATAGGTACAGGTGTTTAAGGACAGAGAAAGACAAACTGCATATCTGCCAGCTGCAATCAGAGGATCAGTCAAAAGCCTGGGCTCCCTGGAGCCCCAGGAGACTGTGGAGCAAGGAGAAGAGCCCAAGCTAGCCTGGAGACAGGCTCCTGTCTTTTTGCCTAAAGCGAGGCCAACGTAAGGAGACATTTGTGACTGCAATAACCCAACTTCAGCACAGATGACTGTCACCAGAGCGGGCTTTTCTTGCCTCCACAGCCACTAACTCAGGATCTGCCACGGCTGGATATGCCCGTGTCGCCTTTTTATCACCTCTATGGCCACGCAGCCTTACTTCCAGGCACCCCCCCATCAGTCACAGGGTACGGCTAGCGGGGGAGAACGACTGGCCTTTTTGCTCAGCACATGCAATTGTGCTTTCTTCTTAAAAGCTGGGACGGGAAAATAAATAAGGAGAAGAGGCCGTTCAAGAACCTGCGCAGAGTCTGGAAATGACCGGCTCTGCTGGGGCTGCCTGGGGAGGGGGCCAAGCCGTGACCTTTGGGGCAGCTCTGTCCCACTCCCAGCTCTCGCCGCTCAAGGCGAGAGCAGGGCCAGGGCCAAGACCAAGAGAAAAGCGACCTGAACCCTCGGGGAATTTGTGGGTGCCACAAATTCAAAGGATGTTGGGGAGGCGCGTGTGACGCGTTGCCCTGTCCCGTCCTCCCTCTCCCCTTCCTCACTAGCTTGGCCTGAGAGCCCCAAGAAGGGCACCCAGGGCAGAGCTCGGGTGTCTCCCATGGGCCTTCCCCCCCCCCCCCAGATTATTCCCCCACAGCGGCACCCCAGCAATCCTTCCCTTCTCCCGTGGATAGTGTGAGGGAGGCAGGGGTGCAGCTGAGCTGGGGGACCCGGAGGAGACCAAGGGCAGCTCTTTACCTGCGTCCACGTTGAGGCCGAGGCTCTGTGCCACCTCCCCCGCCGCGTTGGGGAAGGGTCCCGGCGCCGTCCACGCCGCGGCGGTGCCGGCCTCGCTCTTGCCCAGTTCGCAGGGGGGGCTGACCGGCGTGGGCACGGAGGCGGGGGTGAGGCGGTGGGGGCGGACGGAGGCGGTGGGTACCAGGAGCGAGCCGTAGCGGGGGTCGAAGTGGGGCCCGTAGACCTCGTGCATGGCGGCGGGGCGGGCGTAGGCGGTGCCCTGCGCCCCGATGTAAGGCGGGTGGTGGTGGTGGTGGTGGTGGTGGTGGTGGTGAGCGTGGTGCCAGGGCTCGGGGCCACCCTGGTGCAGGTGGCCGTGCAGGGAGGCCGGCGCGTAGGGGTCGGCGGCGGCGGCGAAGGGCAGCTCGCTGTGGGCGGCAGCTGCCAGGGGGCTGCTCAGGGTGGCCGGGACCGAGGAAGGCTGGTACGTGCTGTTCCAGAAGGACGGTGGGAAGCTGCGCTGGCTCATCGGGAAGGAGCCGTCTGGGCGAAGGCACAGCGGGAGAGAAAGGAAAGGCAGCAATGAGCACACCCAGCCAGCCCCGATCTCCTTTCCCCAGGGCTCTGCCCATCCTCGGATCCCCCCCAAGCCAGGCCTCGCATTCCCCTTATCCCCCAAACAACTGCCAAACACCAGAAATTTCTCCCAGCGAGCGCAGATTCCGTTCCAGCTAAACATCCAACACACCTAGCTCAGGGCTTACCCACGAAACTGAAACTATTTGCTCCAGGTTTCTCTTAGTATGCGTTTAGGGAAAAGGCTGTTATCTAACGTGAGGGAAACACCTCTTTTCCTCAGCAGTGGAAACTGAGTCAGAGCTGTTATGCACCGCAGCGATTTCCAAGGCTGGATTTTTCTTGTTTGTTTTTGTAGTGACCTCCCTGTCTAAGCATTTACACCCAACACTTCAGAGGCTGCCTGACCCTGCCAGGAAAGCGGCTGCTGCCTCAGTGAGATTTCAAAGTGGGCAGGTACAGCACAAGATGCGATTAAGAACCAGCTTAAATTTTCTAAACGTCTGAGGAAAACTCCCCAGCTATTACACCAGATTTAGGCCCGTTTCTTGGGTATATTGCTAATATATTTGGGAAGTGCTCTTTTGGAGACTGGCAGAGCAAAGGGCAAGGACCCTTTGCCTGGTAAGCAACATGCGAGATGGACTAGTGATTATTAATAGCACAGATAGACATTACGCATTATTAAATGGGAATGCACAGTGTTCCTGAGACAAATGAAAACGTGCTCCTGATACACACATTTGCCAGGGAGGTGCGTCAGCTCTGCGCCCTGGCACTACTCAGGAGTAAGGGAAGAGGTTCATGACAAGCAAAGAACTCTCCTCTCCTGCCATCAATTCCAGCGCTGAATATCTTCCACCCATGAAATATTTAACCTACTATTTCATTCTTAGAAACTGCCGACAGCAATTCATGGGGGACTGGGAAACTGGCTGGCAGCTGGGAGGGTGGCCCTGTGAATGAGGGTCCCCAAAACTGCCTCAGAAGAAGTTCCTGCCCTAACTCCCTGGTGGGTAGAGGGTGGGGAAGGTGATTTCCCGCTGCCCTGGGTACCCCCGTGGGCTCATCCAGGGTGAGTGGGTCATGGCTACGGAGAGCTGCTCATCAGCCGCGCCTCGGCCTTGTGGGCGCAGGGCGCTGCCGTGGGCAGGTCCAAAAGCCCTCATTTTCACAAAATCCGGGTCCTTGCCTCCGCTCCAGCAGCGAGCAGGCTGGTGATACGCGCAGGACAGGACACGGACACACACGCACACACAGAGTCTGGTTTTTAGCGGTCGGAAGCTGGTGAGATGGTGCCCACATTTGGTTTTTGCTTTTTGATTATGCCCCTGCCAAACTTAAGGCTGCCCCGGCGGGGTCAGCAGGGGAGGCGCTTCCCCCAGCCCCAATGAGGGGGTTCCTCTGCGGCTTCTTTGGGTGCTGCCAGGTCAATCTCCTGCGGTGTAAAGGCGATTCAGATCCCCGGGGCCGCCTCCCCTTTGATCCCCACAGCCCGGCCTGAACTGAAGGGGTTATTTTTATATATATATATATATTTTTTATTATTATTATTATTTTTTTTTTTCCCTCTAAAAGGGTCAAGCCGCTGGCGGCTCCCAGGGACAGCCCTCCGGGCACCCGCGGCCGGTGCCCCTGGGGAGGGGAAGGAAGGGGGGGATCCCCTCCCCTCCGCGCCCCTCCGCGCCCCTCCGCGCCGCGTTGCGCGCTCACCCCGCCAGGAGCCGGCGCTCCGCGCCGCCTTGGCGCTGCCGAGCGAGAAGCTGCTGGGCTGGCTGAGGGCCCGGCTGAAATGCTCGTCCACCACGGCGCTGATGTCCCCCTGGAAGTAGGTGAAGAGGACGCAGCGGGAGTTGATGTACTCGGCCTCGGGGGGTCGCTCCTTCTCGGGGCTGCAGTCCTCCTCCTTGATGCTGGCCGCGGGGTGGCCGGAGAAGGAGCTGCTGGCGCTGGGGCTGCTGCCGCTCTCCGGGGCTTCTTGCATTTTGGAGTAAAAGGCGAGTTTCTGGGAGGGAAAAGGAAATAGAGGAGCTCACGCCAGGCTTTCAGGCTGCGCTGCGCCCGCCCTCCCTGTGCCAGCCGGGGATGCCCGCTCCCGCCACCTTTCCGAGAGGATGCACAAGTCGGGTCCTCGGCTGCCCGCCGGCCCCCCACCCCCCCCACCCCTCAACCCCCCCCCCCCAGCACCACCCCTCGCCCCGTAGCTGAATTTCTGCCCCACCCCGGGAAGGCAAGGAAGGGGCTGCCAATAAGTCTGGAGGCGCGAAACCGCCCGGGATGGAGCAAGCCAGCAGCCGGGCGGGGGGGGTCCCCGGCACCAAGTCCCGCGCACGAAGGCACTTTGAAGGCCGGGTCCTGGGGAATCAGGACTGAAATTTTTTTTGGGGGGGGGGAGAGGGGGGCGTGAGGCGGGGACCCGCAGCGCTGGCGGCGTGGGGAAGGCGGGTGCCGCTCGCTCCCCGCTTTGCAAAATCTGCCCCAAAGAATGTCCTGTAAGCCACAGCGGCGAGGAGGAGGAAGGAGGGGAAACAAAAAACAAAAAACAAAAAACAAAACAACCAAAAAAAAAAAAAAAAAACAAAACAAAACAAAAAAAAAGAGACTGGAAACACATTTCAGGGCAAAAAGAGCGTTTCCCCGGCCAGCAAGAACCTTCAGGTATTTCCTACAAGATTGTTCTGTTTTTATTGGATTCCTCTGAGTGGGAAAACAGCGGGTGTTGAGAAGTTTGCTGGATGTTTCCCATCTTCCCTTTATCCGCGTTAGCGTGTCCGCAGTGCTGGGGGGTTCTTAGAAATAAGCGACGGGACGCGGAGCCCGGGGTCGGCCTCTGCGGGCAGAGCCGCGGGGCGGGCGGGGGGGGGAAGCACCGAGGGGCCGGGTCAGAGCCTTGGGCCAAGACACGCGAGATATTTAATAATGTCACTCCTTCGTGACGGCCGCCTTTCCACTTGGCTCCCGGCTCGGCCATTGAGGTAATGATCATCCCCCTAAATAATGTCACGAAGCCGTGTGCGGGGGGAGAGGGGAGGGGGCTGGGGGGGGGAGGGGGGAAAGGCAAGGTGGGGGAAGACATCATTTGCTATTTGTAACAGGTATTCCGGCCCCGCTGCCAGGCGCTGGAGGTGGCACACGGGTCACCACACCGGGGGCTGCGTGGAGCCGCGGGGGCTGCGTGGAGCGGGGCCGCTCGCCCCGGCACCGGCCCTGCGCGGCGGGGGCTGCCCCCCGCCCCGGGCCCGGGGTGCTGCTGTCTCTATCCATCCCCTTCTTCGTTTTGCTGGGGGAGGAAGGAATTAATTTCTGGAAGGAGTAAGGGGGAGGAAAAAGAGGAACCCAGAGAGAGAAAGGAAAAGCGGTGTGCGGCAGGTGCACCCGGGGAAACGAGCCCTGACCCACGCGGGACGGTGCGCGTCCCGGGGAGGGCAGTTCCCCGCGCACCGCGGGCTGTGCGTGCCGCCAAACATCCCCGCGGCCGGCGGGATCCTTTACCCGAAATCCGAGGATTAATCGATACCCGCGGTGGCCCGGGCCGGAGCTGCACCCAGCGCGGCGGCGAGACGTGGCTCCCAGCCACGAAGTATCCCGCGGATCCCGCAGGCGATCGCCGCCTCCGGGGACCCGGTGGGGCCGGGGGGGACGGGTCGGGGTCCGGCCGCCGAGGGGGCCCCGGGAGCGCGGAGCATCCCCGCGGCACCGGGGGCTTCCTCTCACCGCTCCCCCCCCCCCCCCCCAACCTTCCCCTCTCCGGTCAAACCGGGGAAACCCCGCAGCCTCCCGGCACTCTCGCCTCCCCCCACTTCCAGAGGGGACACCCCGGAGCTCCCCGCTTTAAGGAGGCTGCTGAAATATCTGCCCGAAGTGGCTCCGGCGGCGGCGGCCGGGATGCCGGTGCGCGCAGGGGTGAGCGATGCCCCGGGCAGCCCCGGCGGGTCCCCGGCGAACCGCGGGCATCGCTGCCCCGAGCCGCCGCGCTCGGATGGAGCCCGTCCCGGCAAAGAAGTGCGGGGGGGGATAAAAAAAAAAAAAAAAAAGAAAAAGAAAAATAAACCCCTAAAAAGCCATCGTAAGGCTAAAATCGCGCTCTCGCCCCCAAGGCAGCCCATCGGCCTCCGCCGGGGTACGTACCCTGCCGAGCCCCGCGCCAAGGTGGGATGCGGTTCTGCTCCGCTCACCATCGCAGGCTCCCGGATCTTCCCCCTCTACCCCCCTTCCCCCCCCCCCCCGCCTTTCCCCTCCCCTTCTCCTTTTCCCTTTTTCTTTTTGGTAAGGCCCCAGACGGCCACCCTCCGGGCGACACCCCTCCCACCCTCTGCCTCTTCACCGCTGCCCCCCCCCCCCCCACCGCACGTACCTGGTGATAGGGGCTGTAGGCTGCTGCGAAGTAGGTCTGGGAAGGGCCGTAGACTTGGTACATAACATCCAAACAGCTCATGGCTGGCCGCGGCCGAGAATTATTTTTTTTCTCATCAACTCGTGTTCCGCGAAGTGGAGCTGTGTGCTTCGCGGGAGGGAGGTTCCCGGGGGTTAAGAGGCACCACTCATTGGTGGGAGGAGTGAGGGGGGATGAGACGGTGCTGGGCTGAGATGACACCCCCCCCCCCCCTCACTGCCCTCCTTCCTTACCTCCCCTCCCTCCCTATAGCGCGGCTCCCTCCAGCAAATGCGCCGGGGCCGGAGGGGCTCCACGGTAGCCGCGGGAGTTTCAGCCCCGGACCCGGCGAGAGGCAGGGGTGGGGGGAGCCGAGGACACCCCCCTCCTGCAAGCGGGGCTACCCGGGAACAGCGGGGCGGGAGGTGCGGGGGAAGCTCCGCACCCCGCGCCCGGCGCCCAGCCCGACCGCGCAGGGACGCGCCGGCGGCCGCGGGGTGCGGAGGGGCCGAGCGGCAACGGGGGTGGGGGGGATAGGGTGGGAGGAGGGTGGGGGGGCTTGCCCAGAGGGGCAGCCCCTCTCTCGCTGCGTTTCATTTCATTTCAGTGGTTTCATTTCACGTGTTTACGGTGCCCCCCGGGGCCGCCTGTGCCGGGTCCCTCCGCGCCCCCCTCCGCTCCGGGCAGGACCCCCCCCGCCGCCCCCCGCCTCGTCGGGTCTCGCTGCCCACGGGGGAGAAGTGGGGCTCCGGGAAAAGCAGGGATCTGGGTAACACACACTCACACACGCACACCGAAGTTACGGGAATTGAAAGATCCGAGGAAGCAAAGGAGGAAAAATCGGTTGTTCCCGAGGAGCAATCTCCCCGGAAATTTTGAATCATCACAAATGCCGGGAGCGGCGATGCTTTTGCATTTAGTAGAAACTAAAACAACGCCGAGGGCAAAGGCACGTGAAAAGAACAAATTATCGCCAAGGTAAACTGGATTTGCTCCGTAGCTTTCTGCTGAGTACGACACACACAGGCGTAAATGGGTGACTGTATCTTAACTGCTAATTTTGACGGCGATGTATAGGAGGGAGACTAGTTTCTAACAGAGAGATGCAAATTCTCATTTCCATATCAACCCTTTGAAATATTCAGCTTCGTGGTACGGGTCACAACTACTGTCAAAAGAGAGCCGTTTTAAGTTAAGTTTTAAGCATTTGTAATGAAGCTAAAAATACAGAAAATATGAGAGAGAGAATATTACTTGATTTTCAAATACTGATTTTTTACAAAACTATGGGGAAAAAAAATCTGAAAAGAATGATCACTTTCAAGACCTGGAAATCTTTACTTGAATTTAAGCAGAAAATCCTCATATTTAAAAATTAATATTTGGCTCTATTTTGTTTACCCCAAAATGTAATTTTTATATTCCAAATGCTAGGAATTGTTCTGAATGCCTCTCCCTTGACAAAATCATATATCGGTGCCTAATGAGCATAAGTTTCGATTTTTTTCTGCACCAGGCGGAAGGTTTAAAATTCATATTTAAACCATTTTTTTCCTCCCTCTTCTAGTTTGGTAAGTTTGTTTTTCATACTGCAATGCACCCTGGAACACTGTAGCTGCAGGGTTCAGCCCCAGCACCACTCCTTCCCATATCAGAGCAAATTTTGTGTTGGGGGTTGAGAAAGAAATAAGGGGAAGGACTGTTGGTGTTAGGCCTTAAAAAAAAAAAAAAAAAAAAAAGGAAATGTGTCTCATACTCTATCATTTTATTTCTCCTGAGTAGCAAGCAAACAGCCACGGTCCGGGGAAGGACTCACTCTGTGGCTGACATCCAAAATAAGGCAGAGAGCTAAGGAGTGCCCCTCGGCTCCTGGCAGCGAGAGGCTGAGGGACCTCACTTGGGGCGATGGGATCTCGCTTTTCCCGTGTGTCCCCGCTCCCGGGAGGCAGGGGGCTTTCCCTCCACGCAGGGACCTGTGCCTGGTTCGAAGGTGGCATACAGAAATAGCCCGTTTCTCAGAAGGTGAGTCTGATTCGGACGTGCACTCCGGAGAGACCCAGCACACTTGCCTGCCGTTCCTGCGAGCTCTTCGCCGGCGGCTTTGTGCAAAAGGGAAGGTAAGACCTGACACTTGCAAGGCTGAGCGTTTGCTTCTCATGAAGAAAAACCCAAATTACAGTGGCATCATGTGCAGCTGGGTGCTGCAGTGCAGCAGACGGTCTAGATTGTGTCCCCTGGAGGATCTCTCCCCGAGGGCTGAATTTCACCTCACACTCAAGTACCTGTCAGGGGAATCAGGTCTGATGCACCTTGGTATGAATTCAGTTTCTTTGATAAACAGCTATTTGACTGTAAAACCGTCCCATTTAAGGCACAAGCAAACTTCAGTGCCTTAACGCAGAGCAACAGAAACATTCGTGCAAAAGTGCTGGCGTTGCTTTGCCTTCTCGGTGCGCTCTGTGAAATTGGTCCTGGTATAGAAAATCATCCTGGAAACCAAGGGTCAGAACTATATTCACTAATGATCTCACTGCGTATTTACAATTATATATAAATAGTTTTTCTTGGTCCTAACTAAAGAATTTTAGGTGGGTTGAGTCACACAAGGAACTACAAAGGCTCGGAAAAAAACAGCTGAGATATCTCAGAGAGAAAATTATGACAGCAATGAAGGAAAGCACAGTTCTAGGAAGGACATGGGTTAAGAATTGGCTGTGTACCATTAAAACACTGGCATGGGCCTACTCCTACGGTCATACACTGGTAATGTTTCACAGCAGTAATGCAAAAAGAAAATCCTGTTGTTAGGAATAAAGAGTGATGGGTTCTGATAGGATGCAGAAAGTTACAACTTGTCTCGGAAAACATTTCTATAAAGCAAGTCAGTGTTATCTTCTAACTAAGCTGGAACCTTTCCCAAAAGAAAAGTTGGGTATTACTGTGAATGGTTCACTGGACAGGCAAACAGATCATCAAATAAAAACATCAACATTCAGAAAGACCGAGACAAAAAAGTCACAGAAACGTGATAGCACTGGCCACATTTGTTGCTCACCTTCCCTGGAAATGCTACATCCCGTGCCAGCCTGCCAGCACCCGGCGTGCAAAAGTCTGCGCAGCCAACACCATGTTCAAAAAAAGGATTAAATATTTAGTAGACAGTATTTCTTTCTGTCTTTTTCAATCTGACCACGTATATACTTCATGCTGTTGTTAATATACTTTTTTTAGAAGCTCGGGGAGAATTTTGCTGTTTCCAGAAAGGCATGCTTTCCTGCCTGGAAGACACCAAGGGGTGGATGGAGAATCCAGCTCTTGCTGCAGCCGTTTGCCGCTGTGCCTAGCTGCCTTCAGTGCTTCTCACTTCCAGCTTGAGTCGGGCTGGCTTCAGCTTCCAGCTGTTGGTTCGTGTAATGCCTTACTTCACTTAGCTAAACAGTCCTTTCACATGTCATATTTTCTCTTACGAAACTTATTTTATTCCACATAATATTTTTTTTTTTTTTTCTGCCAAAGTAGATGCAGCTCCTTAATTTTCTACAGCAATTTCTCCAATCCTCAGAAATTTGTTGCACCTTTTTTCTTGGCGTGCTGTGCAAATTTTCCAACATTGTTTTAAAAATATTGACACGAGGACTTGTTGTTATACTAACATCTCTCGCTGAAGGTATACACAAAGTAAGATACCTTCTTAGCAACCTCTGGTTACAGCGGTTGGGTTGTGTTTTTTTTTTTTTTTTTCTGCCACAACACAATTTTAAAGGCGCTTTCCCACTGTGATCACCACAGTATTTTCAGGATCGCTCCCGCGAGTTTGTAAAAACCATAGACTACTTGCTGGTGTGGAGCTGACAGCACAGAGATGCTGCTGGCGTTTTTTCTGAGCTCTGACATAGCTGACTGAGATTGCAAGTAACCAGGCTGAAAGCTTCCGTGATCCCATGCGAGCCTGTGACATCTGCTCAAGCCCCCCCCTTGTAGCATCCTCCTTTCCAGGACCCTTTCCATCACCTGCCTCCCTCGGTCCTAGGTGTGCAAGGCTGCAAACATCTCTGTTCGTGTGCTGTTTGTTCTCGAAAGCGTCAAGAGACCTAACGATAGACTCTGGTCTTTCCAAATGTTCCACTTCCCACCTTATCACCAGGCTTCTGGTCACGATGTTACCTGCAAAATTTATTGGTGTGATTTTACATCAGTTTTCAAGTTACCGATGAACACCTTGCACAGTTCACAGACTAGCTAATGTGAATACTCTTCTGTAGTGTTCATATCCTATACCCCTATATAGCAGTATTCATACTCCTAAATACTGATGATTTTCTGTTGACTCCAGTTTCTTGCAAGCTCTGTCCATTTGCTGTGTGCATCGTTTATATTGTGCAGTGCCTCCTCTACGAGATGGTAACTTCTGTTTCACCAGGCATCCTGTTTCTGCTCTCTATTTTATTCTCTAATGTCTCAATCTGTCTACAGAGGTCAGCACATACATCACTTTCAGTTGAATGTACTACTTGTGGGTTTACATGGGTCAAATCTGCCTGAAATGGATCAAGATCAATTTTGCTGTTCTTCTTTCTTATCTTGTCAGACTTTGTGCCCCATCTCCCTAAAAGCTTTTTTTTTTTTTTTTTTTTTTGTAGGGCTTGGCAACTGTTACCATGGTGTTCCCAGGGATGTTTTTGAGGTGTAGCCTCTGGGTCTGTATTGATGCAGAAGACTTCAGGCTCAAGAGCTGCTGGCTTAGTAGTTTTAATGGGCACTGAGCTAACTGAAATTAAAGATAAAAATCAGCATGGTAAAACATCACAAGAACACACTATCACTGACTTTCTTGTCTCCTTCACTGTCCTGAGGAACAGAGTTTTATGTTGTTTCTAATTTTTAACCTCAGAGAGCTTGTATAATTAATTTTAATCTTCCGTTGAGGGCATGATTTTTGTATTTTTTTTTTTTTTTTTATTTCTTTTCCTTTTTTTTTTTTTCCCCCTCCCCGGCTCGAAGAATTAACTGTTAGCTGCTAATTAATCACCCGTAGAGCTACTATTTGGTGCCCGTTTGCGTATGTGACAACACGTCTCCTCCCGTGACACGCTCCGCAGCAGCTGGAACGTTTA